ATGGTTCAACTCTCCATGACGTTGACTTCATAACATGTTTCGTTATCTTTTTTTCAGTCCATGGTGTAACACGATGTTCCTGTAAATTTAAATAAATAATACTTACTAAAATATATGATAAGTTACGAATTTAAAGAAATAATACCTGCATGGTTTCTTTTCTTGTAGTACCACTGTTGAATAGAGGCTCGAAAAAACTCCATTAACATAGTAATGGGTAATTTATGGGAATGACGACTTAGAGCGTTGATTGATTCTGCACTATTAGACGTCATGAAACCATATCTTGCTCCAAGTTGATGTACTCTTAACCATCTTTCAAACCCGACATCTTCTAGTGTTTGAGCACACTGAGGCAAAACACGTCTTAAACAATTTATATGCTTATTAAAATCCACTTCTCGATAAGCTTTTACAGCCTTCCAGTATGTCCATTTGTGATTTTTATGCCAGCAGACCTTGATTTTAGATTTCTATACAAATGAACACCACAAAGTCTATGAAAAGCATCTGGGAAACACCTTCTAACAGCGTTGTCAATTGAGTTTGCCCTATCGGATATGATTGTCAGATTGCTAATAGGACCTATGCAATCCCTAAGATGCCCCATAAACCATGTCTATGAATCAGAGGTTTCAGATTTGCCAACCCCGTAAGCTATTGGCAATATCCAATTGTTAGCATCCATGACTATTACTAATAAGTTTACTCCAAGGTATCGACCTTTCAAATGTGCTCCGTCAACTATAATAACTGGGCGCATGCAAGTAATAAAAGAACGAATCTACAAAATAATATACACAAGAAATATAATCATTTAAATGTGAAATGCATGTAACTAACAAAAACGAGTCAACAAAATTATATTGATTTACTAACCGCAACACCAATGGCGATAAACAGCAACTCAAAGCGTCCATCTCTATCTGTTTTGATATGAGTTACCGACCCAGGATTTTCAGCTTTAAATTGTGACAATAAGCCGGCAGTTGGGCAAACGATGCTTCTGGCGAACCCCTCAACAATTCCAAGGCATAACATTTAGCTCTCCAAGCTTGAGAATATGAGATACTAATCTTGAGTTGAGCATTCATGTCAGTCATAATTTCATGTCCCCGATATACCATTCTATTCAAAAACATTAACTCGGCCAAAAAACCACTCAACACATTTTTGTTTGCTTGTCTATGGTGAGGAAAAACTTGGGTTCTTGAACATGTATGTTTATCAATAAAAGTCCTAACTTGAAACATTTCACAATCTTTTATCCTCTTTGCAATCATACGCCACGTACAATTTTTGTCAATCATACACCTTGTTTCGAAACGATCTTTGCTTGATTTGTTAACTTTTAGTTGATAACCATCTTCCACACATTTAGTATACAAAGCTATCTTCAAGTCTTCCTTTGTATCAAAACAATCATCTTTCTTGATACGAATAATTTTTGTGTAACAATCAACTGCTATCTTTACCAACTCTTCTTCCGGTATCTGAAGTAATTCTGGCATATTCCAGTTATACTCCCGTGGCATTTTCTTCGGGGACTTTTTTTCAGGGATTTCTTCTTATTCAGGGTTATATGAATTATAGAATGAATGTTCAACATGTTCATTCACAGTCGTAACTTCCTCCTCATTATCATCAAAAACATCTTCCTCGGCAGCGGCTGTTTCATCATCAAAATTCAGGTATTGACCAATATCAAAATCATTACACGCAGGGTCTGTTTCTTCTTCTGAAACATCAACAAAATCCGAGTATTGACCAAGATCAAAGTTCAGGTATTGATCAAGATCAAATTTCGAATACTGACTAGTACTCACAATTTTTTCTGTTGGCTCATCATGGTCTAACTGGTCAATACGAAAATCGAAATTTGGTGTTGAAAGTTGATTGAGATTTGGATTAGGGAAAGGTTGTGGGTTTTGAGATTGTGTTTGGTATTGGAAATGTGGTGAAACAAAATTTGCTTGGTGATGAAATTGTGGTGGAACCATTAAATTTTGAGCATCATAAACTGGGGTTGAAAAACTTAGTTGATTACTACCCACTAATGACCCAACTTCACTACTTCTAGGTTCAACAACATACAATGTAACATCATCTTGCGAAACACTAATGTAAGCAATGAATCGTTCAACATCTTCATTGTCGGTTAACAAATAAACTTTACATTTTCTCTGATAAGATAACCTAAATCCACTTAGGGGCTCTAAATTCAATTTATTTGCAACACATAACATTAGAGTTTCATAGGTTAATTTTTTTAATGACAGTTTTAGTTGAAGATTCATGGGTAAAGGCATATATTGTAAAACACCATGAACATTCTCCCATGACCCTCCAAAACACAAATCTATCCAAACATGATCAACATTAGATGATTTCATTATTGTAAATTAATTTACTAAACAAACGAGCTGCGAAACTAAAACCTGTTGCCGGATGGGGAAGGATGTCGTTGGATATATGAACGGATGTCGCCGGAGAGAGTGATAGATGGAGATGGAATGAGTTGCGATTTAGGGATTTAGGTTATGAGTTGCTGCTGATGCGTAGTTATATACCCAAAACATTTGTGTTGCGAAATTAAAACCTGTTGCGAATTTGAAATTCAGTGTTGCGATAGTCAGAATCGCGTTGCGATTACGTATTATCGCGTTGCGATAGTTAGAATCGCGTTGCGATTACTTATTATCGCGTTGCGATTGTCAGAATCACATTGCGATTACGTATTATCACGTTGCGATAGTCAGAATCACGTTGCGATTACGTATTATCGCGTTGCGATTTACATATTCGCATTGCGATAGTCAAAATCGCGTTGCGAATCTGGAAACTAATTTGTGATATCGCGTTGCGATTTAGAGATCGCATTGCGATTTTGTTGGTCATTTTGGCAAATCGAAAAAAAGTTGGTCAAAATTAGAGGTGGGTATACGGGCTACCCGCCCGTTTAGCCCGCGGGTTTTGACGGTGCGGGCTAAAAAGCCCGCATTCATAAACGGTTTTGAATTTTAAGGCCCGTGGCCCGTCCATTTAACCCGCGGGCTAAACGGGCTTACCCGCGGCCCATTTAATAAAAATAATTTTAAATGCTTTAAATACAATAAAAAATAATGTTTTAACTTACTACACCTTTAAAAATGATCGAGCAACTTGAAAAGGAAGGTAGCACTGTCAAAATAATAAATAATATTTAAATTTTATTTTAAATAGCCGGAAATGATTATAAAATAATATTTTTTTAATTTTTTAATCATTAATATATATATATATAATGATAATTACTTAAACTCAAATTAAAAAAACAATATTCACTTATATCACCAAATTGAAAAATAAATAAAACAATAACCACATTATACTTTTATAAAACACAATTATTCAAGGCTATAATATAAATACACAGAAGTGTCTGAAAGTAGAAATTCAAACTTAAAAATTTAACAAAGTCAAACATTATACAAATCTAACAAGAAAGTTGTCAAGTGTTTCTAATAATTGTATTTTATGGATACTTTAGAGAAATACTAAAACATAATATGAAAATATAAAATAAAATACTTACAGTATAAGAGCAAATTTGAAAGATACAATTATACTAAAATTGATAAAATATAAGTATTAATTTGTTAAAATATATTTATTTTGTAAAATTCTTTAAAAGTTGAAAAGTATATTTTTAATTTTTTATTTTACTTTTCTTTCTTATTTTAATCCAAATATTACGTGTCATGTGATATATATTAGAATATCACGTGACTTTTTATAATTAAAGAACAAAATGGATAACATACTTCATGAAAAAAAATAAAGGTCATAATTAAATAAAAAAACTTTAAATACCAAAATGATAATGATATATATTTAAATGACGGTAAAATTATGATAAACACCCTAATAAATTTAAGAACTACAATAGTTATAAGTAACATTATATTTATAAGTAATTTATTTTCTTTTTTTATAAATTTCTTTAAGTTTATTTTTTCTAAAATTTTATAAATTTTAAATTAAGCGGGCTTTAGCGGGTTTAACGGGTAGCCCGCGGTTATACCCATTAAACCCGCGGGTTTAACGGTCCGGGCTAAAAAGCCCACAATTTAAACGGTCTTCAATTTTTGAGGCCCGAAGCCCGCATGGGTCGCGGGTTAAACGGGTAGCCCGCGGGCCTTAGCCCATATACCCAGCTCTAGTCAAAATCGTATATTTAAGGAATTTTCGGTCACTGAGGTTATTTTCTCTATTTCTAATACCTCAACTATTAATTTTATTTTTTTATCATTTAATTATTTTTTCAAAATTATACATACGTTACGTTTTAATTTATTTTGATCATATACAGTTAAAAAATTAATGTAATTACTAATATGATATTTTTATTTTTTAATGATAATTCTTATGATGATACATCGATATTATTATTATTTTTTAACACTAAATGACTAAAATAAAATCAAATTAAACGTTAGATATAATTTAAAATAATTAAATGATTAAATTTAAAATAATTATCTAAATATAATTTAAACTTTTAATGTAATTTATCCTAAAAATAGAATAACATGATTTTGTTTATTCACCTTTTATTTATTATTTTTTAATTTTTCATTGATTGACAACACTATTGAATCAAATTGACTACAATACCCTTACTGACTTATTTGCAATTGCATCACCCTAATGCATCAGTCCATCAAACCACAGTTCCTTGATGTGAGCAACGGCTGCAGCCCTAATATATTTGGCTGCCATTCAAACAAACAGCTTTAAATTATAACTTTTTTTTTAAAAAAAATTATGATATAATTATTCAATTAAAATATTATTATAAATTCAAATATCATACTAGGATATTATCTACCTTTCAAAGTGCTTTTGTTAAAGGGAGCAGTGTCTCTGTTAATTCACTCTTGGCCAATGATTAAATCTGATCAAAACCCGCCCGCTCCGGGTCAAATTCTCATCAGTATATAGTTTAAAATGCTAATAGCTTGAGCTCAAAACAAGAAACAAACTTGTTCAATATGCAGAAATCAATGCAAACATTTACGGATAACAATAATTCAGATGTGGAAGTCAAACACGATAAAGCTTTATAACTTGCTGAATCTCGGCACGACAAACGGGGCAACCCCATTTCTTGGCTTTGATTTCATTCAGGCAAGGCATACATCCGGCGACATGGCCACAAGGAACACAGGCTGCTTCTGATGGAGCATCCAGACATATTGGACATGAAGGAGCTTCATCTTGTTTTGTTTGACCAGCACTAGGATGCAAGTTTTCGCTGTTTGAGGAAGACAAATAGATAGGAGTGGAATCAATCGACGGATATTGAATTGAACCATCTTCTACAATCTCATCCATGGCAGGTGCCGGTGGAGCTGATGGGATTGAATCTGAGGGTTGCATTGTTGTATTGACAGCGGAAATTTCATTATTATGGATCTCGGTGCCCTCGGTTGAATTGCTACCACAACCACCTTCGATCAAATCCCATTTGCTTATACTTGCTTTTGAAGGTGGAAATGCCGTTGGTGCTACTGAACCGCTGTGATTGCTACTACTTGCGGTGCTATCCCAACCAGCAGATGCACTAGCTTGATTGCCAGAGTGCAAATCGACAGCAGTTGTCTCTGCAATAGTTGACTGGATAGAAGCATTGATTGCCATTGCTAATTCTAAATCCTCCGCATCCGGTGGTGCAGTTGCTGGAGCAGCCGGAGGATGAGAATTATGCAGAAATGCAGGAATCCTTACCTACATATTCCAATACCATAAAGAAAACGGAGATTCAACATAAAAATTTACCAGAAAGCATCATGAACAAAATGTTCCGTCTTTGTAAGTGTACCTATCACAAAATTAAGCTTCTGATTGATAATGGCTTTACAAAGAATCATAATGGAAAAACCTATGTTACTCGGACTCGGGTGTAAGTGTCAGACACGTGGGTATGGTTACATTTCCTTAAGTTTTTCCATATATTTTAAGGTATCCTTGGATCATATCCCCCTATCCAAATGTCGGTCATGAGTGCCGTACTTCATGAAAAATGAAGATTCCGGTTAACATAGGGATTTAAAGGGTAAATAATACCTGTGGAATTCCTTTGCATGCATCACAAAACCACTGAAGCTGTAGCATGTCATTTTCTTTGCCAGGTGCAAGTTTAATTCGTGTTTCTGGAAAAGAACCAGACCTTGTTGATGTGAGTTGCATTGTAGAAAACATGCATTTATTGTTCAAAAACTGAAACAAATGAAGGTGGTAAAGTATCCGAGCATCGGAGCTAATAACTGGTTTTCACCTAATTATTGGTGAAGCAGTCACAAGGGCAAAGTAAACCTAGTTACTCGAAGAACAAGGAGGCTGCAATTTGGAGCCCCAGTGATATCCGATATCAAAGAATTATAGTTTTATCATGTCTACATGAAACTTAAGTCAAGTTCAGGGGTTTTCTAAATAACAGGTAATACCATGCTTACACCTAGCCTCTCTGGAGGTGCAAGTACTTCACCTTTGCCTTCCCTGTCTTGAGGCAATTCATGAAGATTAATATCAATCAAATTATGGCAACTGCGAAATGAACCTGATTTCAAAATCCATAACATGGCCACAAAGAAATTGAGAACTAGAAATACTGGAAAGAGAAATTACTGCTTGAGTTATCAACAATTGTTGCTGAAGGATCAGGCTGGTTCGGCTTTGGTTCCTCCAAATTAGCTTTCCACAATGGAATAACTGTACGTGGTTGGGCATCCTGTTATTTCACCAATTACCCAAATAATGTTGGAAAATCACTTAAGGAGAAGCAAACAACAGAGACGACTAATTAAAATTTAAAGTATTATTCAAGAGCAAACAATGGCTGAGGAAATAATTCCAGAGCCCCCTAAGAATCCTTGTTTGAGTTTACCAACCAATCACTATAAGATATATCGTTAATAATAGACCTTGCACACTCAGAATTTTAGATTGAACAACTAAAGCAGCTTGAAGCCTATATCTAGTTTTTACATCTAATACCATTATATAGTAAGTAAACTCGTTATTTATACGCATAATACCATCATAAGTACTTAAGAAAGCTGAAGCTAATTTGATGATCAGATTCAGGACAGTTTAAGACAAGCTTGTGGATTATTGTATCGATTTTTCAGTCATTATTTGAGCTTGGAGATTAACAAAGACATAAGGATGTTTAGCTGAGTTTGAAGAGTTTTAAGCGTTTAATCTTTGGCTCACGTCACCTTTCTTTTCATCCTTAGATTAAAATAAATTAAAAACAGAAAGAGAGATAGATTGTAATTAAACTTGCAATACCTGCAAAATGGAGTATATCGCCAGCCCCAACTTCAGAGGCGTTGTATGATTACGCGGACCAGTTGGTAGAACAACCACCCAACTGCAAGAAATGCATTAATGAGAAGATACACAATTTGTTTAGAGAAAGAAAATGTTACTGATTGGAAGCAAATTAAGGTTCACATTAATAGGAATCATCAAGGCATATTGCTTCTATGGCATAACGCAACAAACAAGCAAAAAATCAATCGAAATAAAAAGCATTTCGTACACTAATACCCACACTTTTCTTGAAACCAATTGAGGAACAAAGATTTCGATGAATCCTGGCCCATAAAATTCTCGCATCCAACCAGAGAACAAACATATGTGCTCCTACAGAGTATAAAATTCAAAGTTGTGAGAAGGTTTTACAATAAATAGAATTATCAAAGATAAACTTCAAATTATACCTCGATAGCTCGCACAACATTGATGTTACCTTTCGCCCTAGCAACATCTAGAGGCGTTTGACAATCATCATTCATTGCCAATGGATTAGCTGAAAATATAAACAAGTCACTAAGACAACTCTACACAGTTCAAATAAAGCATTTTTGTGGTATAGGAACTAATAACTCGGTTTTCGCTAACCTCCATGGGAAAGAAGTAATTTGACTGTATTTAGAAGGCCCCTCTTTGCTGCATGGTGCAAGGGAGTCCCGCCATGCCGACCTAAACACAAATTAGAATACCAAAACCAAAATCAGTTCATAAATTATTTACTTCAACAAAGTCCCCCAAAGCTTCTTTACTTTGACAATTGTAAATTTCTTCCTCCTTAAACCAACATCATTAATGTTAACGAGAAAATTCCAGGTAAAATTTTTAAAAAAATCCTTCAAAACCATACATTTCTGCTTTTTAGTTAGAAACAGAACTCAACATTTAGCAATATGAAAATTAAATCAATAAAATTGAAACCTGGACGATAAGCGTTAATATTGGCACCGAGTTCGATCAAAATTTGGGCTACATCAAAAAGTGATGGATTCAAGCAAGCCAATATCAACGGCGTTTTCCCTTCTTTATCAATCCACTGTCAATCCAGAACCATATATATACGTAAAGACCTAACTTAATCAGTGTGATTAAATGAGGGTAAAAAACAAGATCTGTTATTTGGTACCTCAAGGCCGGCGCCTTCATTGAAAAGAGATTTAATCCCTTCAACGTTACCGTAATTCACTTGATTGTATAGCAGTTCGTCTTTCGATTGTTGTTGCCCCATTCAAAAACGCTTCTGGTTGATCCGATGGAAAATTCGGCCCGGATTTTATTTTTCTTTCTTTTCCCAGGAAAAAAACTGTTTTCCCGGAAAATTGAAATGGAAATAAATTCAAAATTAGGATGGAAAAATTGATTAATTCTGGAGAAATGATTAATTTCTTAATGGAGAAGAATGTCTGGAAGTCGAGAGGAACCCTTTTTTAGGGTAAAGTACATTATAGGTCCTTAAACTATTCTCAAATAATGTTTTTTTGTTATTAAACTTTTAAAAGTTATATAATATTCCTTACATTTTATGGAAATATTATAAAAGAATCATTAAACTGTTATAATGATCACTAAATTTATTGATATTTTACACTTATTATAACACTATATGACTCTTTTGTAACAATTCAATAAATCTAATTATCATTTTAGATTTTTAAAAGTTAAATGACTAAAATGATAATTTCTATAATTAAGTGACATGTGGTGTACTTTATCTCTCTTGAGGAAATTCAAAGTATTAATTTTTGGATAAAGTAAGCAAGAGGTCACTAAACTATGTTCAAATAATTTTTGATAATTGAACTTTCAAAATTTATAAAATTATTATTAAATATTTTGAAACGATCAAGTGATGTTATAATAATAAAGTTCCATAAATTTAAGGATCATTTTGTAAGAGTCTAATAAAATTTAACGAATCTTTATATTATGATTTAAAATTTTTAATCATCATTTTATAATAATTAAATAAATCTAATGATGATTTTATATTATAACAGTTCCATAGATTTAGAGACTATATTATAATAATTTATGATTGTTTGAAACTATGTAGTTGATGTATGAGGGATATGCATTTAGTCGATTCAAGTTTTTATATACCAATAATCGAATAAATTAATTAAGTCATTAAAACTGAGTATATTAAATTGATTCTACTTTGTAATTATTAAAATTTATAAAACGATGAATCGACTATTTATATGTTTTAAATATATTATTTTTTATTAAAAATTTGATAACATTATTAAAATAAAGCCTCGTAAGTTAAAATCTCTCATTTCAACCTTATTACTAGCTATCATCGATCATTACCGATCGTCTTTATCATCCTCAGACGATCACTCACCCGTCTTTATCAACTCAATTTCCCAAAACAATATAAAATAGATTCACCAATGATCATAATGAAAAAAAAACAAGTTATCTATTGTACAGCTACAAAAGTTCACTAAGGTAGTTTGAGAAATCAAGAGAGTGAGAGAAAAAGGAAGAAGATGATCTTGTTGCTGCAACATAGCCCCTTGAGCTTCGCTTTCACTAAGTGTCAGATACGAGTACATATCCGATGTAAGTGTATTCGAGTCTTCTAATAAAAGCTTTGTTTTTCCCTTCATATATTTGAGAACATACCTTTGTCCGGGTATCATAGTTCTATGTTGCCGGATGACTAAGCTTGAGAAGGTGGAGGCGCGACGGCGATGCTGCCGTTGGTGGAGTAGGGGATGAAACAGCCAAAGCCTGTTATATCGCAGTGGGACTGTACCTCATAAACACCCTATTTTTATTGTTTCTCCACCATTCTCCTGCCTGTTGTTCATGGAACTTCCTTTTGCTGCAAAACTGCCTGTTGTTCAAATCGTGAAGCGTCCTATCTGTGATTGTAAATGCCGAGAATGCTGTATTTATTTGGACCTTCCCGACCTTGCTTATATCCGAAGTCTTGTGCAATAAGTACAATTACACTATATATAAAAATAAATTATGTGTACCGTGTCTCATGGTTTCTACGGACTACAGTAAAATACCAAATGTTGCTCGGAGATTTGATGGGGAAAGACCTAATCATTTTTCTTAAATTTTTACGGGTTGGCATGGCACATTTTTTTCTTTTTGTAAAATTTCTCTTTACGGAGAGAATAAATGCAACTAAAGCCAGCAACTTACCACCAGCTATTTATTTAACTTCTGAGAACCTTCATAAGCATTATCCAAAGTGTTCTCATAATTCATAGGCAAATTAGTTAAAAGACTATTCTTGCTCATGATTTTTGCCCTTTTGTTGCTTTGACATGCAGTGGCTGTGCAATGCTGACAAGTCTATTCATGAGTCAAGATTGAGATTAAAGTATGTTGGGTTCTTATATGCCTATCTTTTTATAAATTAAACCGAGATTTTTACATACATGCAAATGGAAAACATATCTCCTTAAATTTAATGTGTGATGATTCTCATGATCTTTTACGGCATTTTTCGGATCATTATATAGATGCTTAGCAAGGGGAGCAAGAGCTGTGCTTCAAGTATATCCTGAAAACCTAGCCCAGTTTGAGTTAATTTTGAGTTATGCAATGCGTGCTGGATTTGCTGGTGGTGTGGTTGTTGACTACCCACACAGGTACGCCTCTATTCAGCATGAACAATTTATGACAGGAGTTAAAATTGCCTCCTCTTTTGCGTCTGTATTCATGTTTTGTTAGATGGATGCCTGAGTTAATGATGCAGGGTATATCATCGGCACTGAGAGTTGTTTCTATTCCATGACTACATATACTTGCATCAATGCCTTTGCTGTTTTTGATGAACTTGTTTTAGATCGATTGTTTATGCTTCTTGTTGGACCATCTGTTTTGAAGTTGTTTAAAAGAAAAAGATTAACAGTCCCATTTGCTGAGTTTTGCAAGGCAATAGAATCTGTTGCATTAAATTGTCTACAACATTTCATGATTACTGGTGTTGTTTTTCTGCTATTCTGCACTTGTGGGCATATTCATCTTAGCGTTCAATTCTTTTTACCGTATTAATTACCTCTTGTACTTTGCATTTGCGTTTTTATTTTTGTTTATGATGCATTCGCCCATCGATTATATGCTTTTGTTCATTAGTGCCGGGAAGGTGCTATTGCTTCTAACGGCACGGGATATAATTTTGGTGAAAATATGCATTCAGGAACTTAGGAGAGTTCAATATCCCTTTTAAGTGGATAGATGGTTTGAATTGACAATTCATGATATCATTTCAAGCGCTCTAACATGAACTAATCATCTTCTGCGAGTACCAAAACGAGAAAAGAATACCTTGTCCTCGGCACTCCCGATCCTGGTGGAAAAGGTGAAGATGGAGAGAATTGCTCCGATGAAGAAAATCAAACGGTGAGCCTATATATATATTATAGGCTAAACTCTCGAGATAATATTCTCGAACAAATTATTTTACGAGATAATGCTATCCCAAGATTAATTGCTCAAATAGGATGAAATCTACAATTTTGACCGTAGGTCGCCATGCCTTCCGGGCGACCTACTATGTGGCCAGCCATGCATGTCCCCAAACATAGGTCGCCATGCCCTCCGGGCGACCTTGTAGGTCGCCATGCACTCCGGGCGACCTTGTAGGTCGCCATGCACTCCCTCCTGCTCCTCGCGTGATTCTTCTTGCCCTCGGATGCCCTCGCATAGCTCGCTCGGATGCCCTCGATCGGATGGCCTCGGATGCTCTCGCATAGCTCGCTCGGATGCCCAGCGTGTTGGAACGTGCATGACACATGCAATCTCTCTCATAGCTCGCCGGGAAGACATGGCGACCTACGACCAATTGTAGATTTCACCCTATTTGAGCAATTAATCTGGAGAGTGCATTATCTCGTGAATTAATTTGTTCGAGAACATTATCTCGAAAGTTTTACCATATATTTATATCACACCACATTATTGCTCTTTTCTGGTCAATTTTTTCCCGAAAAAGGAAATAAATAAATGAGTAGATAAAGGTTTTGCAAGGTTTATTTCTTTGCTCATAGCTGCTTCAGTCGATTGTTCTATTTCCGGGGATTTGCAGGTTAGCATTTCGGACAGGCATAGACCCAGGAAAAAAGCAGAAAATAAACAAGGCAGGCAAGGGCAGAGAATGGGTGTTGAGGAAGAAGGAACAGATGAGAAGGAAGGGGAATGCTGTGCCCCCAGACACCAAGTACACGGCTCGAAAACGCAAAGCTCGCTTCTGACGACAATGGCTACCATGTTATAAGAACTCGTTTACATGGTAATTACTATGGTGGCTAATATATGTTTTTCGTTCTTGTATTGATATACATATCTTGCTATGTTTACATAGTGATAATAATTTTAAAGGTGAACTATACCTTAATCACTTGATTGTTAGTTATGTTATGTTTTGGTCATTGGATTAAAAAATATACTTTTTTTTCCGGTTGAAGGTGAAATTAATGGATGGATATATGATCGTTTAACAGTCAGTACAATAATATATTTAAGTACTCTTAATGTTTATATGTATTTATCAACTTGATCAATAATTGTAAAAATGACCATTGCCTTCTTTCAATTTGATCTCAAATTGTAAGACAAATAACCTTAAAAAAATAATGAATTGAATCGAACGTTGTGCGATTTTAAAAATTAAAATCGAAACTGAAACCGAATTACATAAAAATTACGATTTTCAGGTTTGGTTCGATTCGATTTTGTAATTTCTGATTGTTCATTATTTTTCAAATTCAATATTCAAATAAAGCAAATTTAAAGTTTAAATAGAGTAAAAATATACGAATTGAAAATATTATTAGTTTTAAAATTTTATTTATTTAAGTTGTCTTATAATAGCATGAACCAATTTATCTCAGCGATTAAAGGAATCATTGTTGTTCCTAGAGGTCATGAGTTTGAGCACCAGCGATTATAAAGGTGATTGAACGTTTATTGACAAATGGTTGATAGTATAGTTAGAATAAATACTATTTGTAATCAGTGGCAGATTAAAAAATTTATAAATGAGGGTCCAAAATTTTAATTTTCTTTTCTTAAAAAAATAAGGGGGGTGCTAAAAAATATTTTCTTCTATTTTTCTTTAACATATTATATTAAATTTCACTTTTTTCCCTAAATAATGGGGATGCGCTTGACCCCTAGGGGGCTTAGTGCATCCGCCCCTGCTTGTAATCATCTTAGCTTAATAGAAAAAAATGTTGTCTTATAATAAATTCAAAATAAATTTGTTTTGAATAACTACTTTTTTAATTCATTTTGGTTTGGAACAAACGGATTCCATATGAAAAAATCGAAACGAGTTATGTAATTATACTTTTAAACCGAACCGACAATGAGATGCAAAATAAAAAAACTTAAATTGAATCAAACTACATAATTTGATTCGGTTTGGATCGATTTTTAGGTTTTCTTGATTTCGTTGCTCAACCCTACAAGATAATATCAATTCGAAAGACTCCCAACCATTTAACATTGAACACTCAAACATATCTACAAACATCGTGCTCGAACCTGGAACTTCTATGATAACAACCATTCATTAAACCATTGGAGTTGCTTGATTCATGAAACTCTCAGTGAATTAATAAAAAATAAATAAAAAATTAAGATAAAAGACAGCAATAAAAGTTTAAATAACTAAACTAACAAAGTTGAGGACAAAAGATGGAATTCTCTTCAAGAATCAATCTTTTAATTGTAAATGAATATTTTAACCGAGTATTTAAATTGTAATGTTTAGAAAAAAGGGTGATCTATTTATAATAAAATTAATAATTGAGTGAGCTGCAATGTATTTTACTCAAAAATTAAATCAATTTAAGATGTCCACATACAGGATGACGGTGCTGTCATTGTCAAAGAAAAGAATTGGGACGCCACGCCACCCTTTTCATCCTCTCAAAGTATAATTTTTTTTTCCTATTTTAATCTTAAAAAAATAATTTCTTTAATTCGAAAGAGTTTCTTTCTGGTTGCTGCTTATTTTCACTTGCATTTTCCTTTTATCCATAATAATTCTCTTCGTCCCATTTTCCCTTTCTCCATCTTCAAGCAGCCATGTCTTTCAGAGGAGTAAGTTTCTCTTTCTTATGACTCTTTTAGATCTGATCTGGTTTGGGTTCTTTTTATTCTCTTTATTTTAGCTTAAAGTTACTTGATTTCTTATTTTCATGCTGAAACTTAAACAAAGTTAAGGTTTTTATGTATGTATGTATGTATGTATGTATGCATGCATGCATGTATTTTGGTGAGATTGAATCTGCCATGACTGGTTATGTCTTAGCTTTGTTCTAGTAAAGTTATCTCAACAACGAAAGATTTGATTTTGTACTAAAAAAAGTGTTCTTTTTGCATATTCACCTCAATTGTAATGGTAGCAGAATTAGGGTTCTGAAGTGTTTTTGATTGGTCTGTTTACTTATGAACTTGGAAATTGTATTTACATTGCATAATCCGAGTTGGAAATTAAGGATTGTGTTGGAGAATATTGTTTTGTGTCCTTGCACATTTGACCTTCTTAAAATTTGTGAAGCTTTCTCGCTCGAATCACTCACCTTAGCATCTTAGACCTGTTCTTATAGAGTTGGTTGAACCGAGTTTGATTTTCTTTTATAACATTATTTTTTATATTGAAATTGGTGCACATTGAAGATTGAGCATCTGTTTCTGGTTTTAGGCGAATGCGTCATCTGGCATGGGAGTGTCTGAACACAGCAAGAGCACGTACCTGGAGCTGCAGAGGAAGAAGGTGTTCCGATACGTGATATTTAAGATCGACGAGAACAGAAAGGAGGTTGTGGTTGAAAAGACTGGAGGTCCATCCGAGAGCTATGATGATTTCACTGATTCATTGCCTGAGGCTGATTGCCGCTATGCCGTTTTTGACTTCGATTTTGTGACTTCCGAGAACTGCCAGAAGAGCAAGATCTTCTTTATTGCGTGGTCAGTGTCCCTTTAAGTTGCAGAATAGTTTGATTCTGTGGAAAATCATGTGCTGCATTTGCATTATAACTCAGCAAGTCTAGTTTGATGGTAACACAACTTTCTCCATGATTGGAACACCTTTATTATCCCCCATTGTGTTCTGCAACTTGACTGAAAGCGGAAGCGATTATGGCTGAACAATTATAATCCTTATTCCACATATTTTAATAGTTTTATTGTTTGCAAATGGTATTTTGTTTGTAAATTCATTTATGCCATGGTGGCTTCTTGAGTAGCACAAGTAATATCGGTCCTGCTTATCTGATCGAATATCGAGTCAAGTATATCTGTGCTGGTTTTCACTTTAAGGTTCACTAAGCCCAAGTTGTTTGAATCTGCGAATAGGTTGCAGGAAAAATCATGAAACGAGTTTTCTTTTCATGCCATTGACGGTTGATGTTTTCCATATACAAGGCTGACTCAATGTTATCTTGTAGGTCTCCTTCTGTTTCAAGGATCCGTTCCAAGATGCTCTACGCAACATCCAAGGATAGGTTCAGAAGGGAACTGCAGGGCATTCATTATGAAATTCAGGCAACTGACCCGACTGAGATGGATCTTGAGGTGATCAGAGAGCGTGCACGTTAAGTGTCGAATACCATCACTGATTTCGCTTGCTTAGAAAATTCCCGTGCTTAAGTGGGTTACTAAGTGTAGTACTGTAGCTATCTATCCTTATCACAATGCACATATGTTATTGTTGTTAAAATAACACCTGAGAAGGCTGATTTCGAGCTCCGGGGTTCAGAACTTTGGGCTCCTCATTGCTGTGATGCTTCTCAGGTGAAGATGGGCGTGTTATTAGGAGATATTTGAAGTGTTATTCTTTATTTATGTTGTTTCAATCTTTCATTTTGTGTCCCTTGAATATATTTACAAAGATATGATCTTGGAAATACATGAATGAACTCGGAAATCGAGTCCGAGTAACAGAGCCGGCTACCGTCCTGAAAACGATGGGATGCCTTGAAAGTCCACAAAGATGGCCTAAAATTCGCCGGGTTTTAGATGGAAAACCTAACAACCTCTTGCTAGGCTTTGAGACTAGTTTGATCATCCTTGACTTGTCAATGGTATTAAAAAGAGGATGATGATTAGGTCAAATTTTGTTAATAGTCCCTGTACTTAGGGTTGCACATAATTCGGATTTCAATCCGATCCGGATCGGTTTTTATCCGATCCGGTTTTTTCCCATAGAAAAAAAACCGGTTTATAAAATAACCGGTTCGGTTTCTAACCGGTTTGGAGGGCCGGATATCCTAACCGGTGTAATCGGTTTCGGTTTTAAAAAACCGGTTTTTTTAAAAAACCAGTTATAAAAAAACCGATTTTAATATTCCAGATTGCTCATAGGGAACCGATTCCCCCCCAAGGGGTATCGATTCCTCACTGAATGGTTTGGCTCCGAGATTTCCAGAATGCTCGGGAGGGAACCGATTCCCCCATAGGGGTACCGATTCCCCCTATTCAACGGTCGAAATATTTGAATTTTACACTTAGGGAACCGATTCCTTATGAGAGGGTACCGATTCCCCCACGCTCTAAGCATTTTTATTAAATGTTTTCACACTTAAACGGCTATATTATCTTCATTAATTATCACTAACGTTCAGAAGTGATTCAAGGTGTATTTAAGCAAGCTTAGAAGTCATTGATCAAAGACAAGAAACATCAAGCAACTAGAATCAAGAGAGAATCAAAGAGAAAGCATCAAACCTCAAGTTCGATAAATTCAAATACTTAATTGAAATACTTAATTAACTCAACATAATTGAAATACTTAAATACTTCCAAGTTTTGATAAATTCAAATACTTAAAAACTTCCAAGTTCGATAAATTCAAATACTTAAAAACTTCAAGTTCGATAATTGAAACAAAGTTTACGATAATTGAAATAAAGTTATAAAATAAACTACATTGCCATCTCTTCTTCATCATCTTCGCCTTCTTCGTTTGGAGGGGATATTCCAAGTTCGACTTCTTCAATGTGTAAGTTTGCTTCCAAATCGGCATCAATTGCATCTTCTAGGGTGGTGATATGTTGCTTACGAGCCGCTCCATCCAAATAATCCTTTAAACAAATGCATACTTCCACCGACTCGGGACTTAGTCTTGATCTCCGTTGTGATATAACCCTGTCACTAACAGAAAAAGCGGATTCCGAAGCTACCGTAGAAGCTTGGACGGTTAGTAAATCACGGGCCATGGCGGCTAAAATCGGAAATTGTGCTTCCTTTTCTTTCCACCAAGCCAAAATATACAAACTTTCAAACTCTTCAAATGTCATTTTTGATAGAAAATCGCATGACATGTAATTTCCCAACTCGCTACTTGGGGTGGTAGTACGTGATCGTTTGGATTGGGAATTTACAAGAGTGTTAAAAAGATTCAAATTTATGTTACTTGGACGTCTACTAGATGATTCCGCATTCATTCTCATTTGATCGTGTATTACACTACTTGATCCGTATTTAGTTAAATAAATTGCAAACATGTCTCGAAAACATTTGTTAAAATAATTTATTTGGTTTTGGACAAAGTTGGGTTCATCATCGGTTAGATTAAAAGCAAACGCAATTTGTTCAATTAGTGTTTCAACCCCACCAACATTTAACGTTGGGTTTAAAGCGGCGGCACAAGTAAAAATGGGGGGAATCTCCTTAAAATATTTTAAAAGTTTTTCCTTCATTGCAAAGCCAATTTCTTGAAAAACTTCGGTTTCAAATTCAAAGTCATTTAGTCGGGTAGCCAACAAAATATTTGATTAAGAACCAACGGGCTAGTAGGGTAATAAACACCGGATAAAAAAGTTGTTGCATTTTTAAAAACCTCAAGCAAATCGGTTATTTTGGCTATAGTTTCCCAACTCGAATCCGAATAAATGTCTGGGACATGACCCCTCTCGAAAAGCCGATCGTGAAATGTTTGCAATGTTTCCCTTTGCCTTAAGGCAGTATGCATCATCATCCAAGTTGAGTTCCAACGAGTTGGACAATCCAAATTAGGACCCAAAGCTTTTTTATTAACAGACTTACAAAATCGTTTATAATCATTTAGTCTTTTGTTGTTGTTACAAAGAATCGATTTTATCATTGTTTTAAATTCTAATCTAATTGGCTCAATAACCTCCAAACCGGCTTGCACGGATAAATTAATTATGTGTGCAACGCAACGGGTATGAAAAAACGCACCGTCTAAAATCGGTGAAAGTAATATTTTCAATCTTGGAACCGCGTTTGTATTATTCGATGCATTATCAAAGGATATAGAAAAAACTTTATTTCTAATTTATAAAGACAAATTACCCGTTTTAAAAGTGTAAATAAATTAGCACCGGTATGCGGCTCACCGAATAATTCAAACGCGATTGTTCTTTTCATCATTTGCCAATTATCTTGATCTAACCAATGTGACGTAACGGCTAAAAAAGAATTTCCGGTATTATGAGGGGAACTCCAAACGTCACATGTAAGCGACACACCATAACGGTGTTCTTGGAATCCTAAAATCATTTTTTCCCTCGCCGTACGCCACATTTTTATAGCATCTCTTCTAAGGGTAGTACGACTTACTTGAGTAACGTGGTTGCATTAGTTGTTGAATTGTTGTCGTGAAATCTTCATCATCAAAGTGGTCGAACGGCAATGCTTTTGTAATCACGAACTTTGTAAACGCTTCTCGTAATTTTTCGTTGTCGTAAACAAAAACACCACCTTGCGGTGTAAGATTCGATTGACTAGGATCCGATCTTGAGCGAAGTGCCTTGCATGATTTTGTCAAATGGTTCTTCAACGTTGTGTTTCCTTCCGATGCAAGAAACTTTAGACAAAGTTTACAACGCGCCCTCCTCGATCCATTTGACATCTCACATAAATCGTAGTGATCCCAAATATCTTTGTTTCGAGTGTGTTCGATCACTCTCACGACTTCAAGGTTTCCCCCGACGGAAGATTCAGCAGTGTTACTCATGATGAATAAAAAATTACAAAACTAAGATTTGAGAGATGTTTAAGTGTTGTGTAATAAGATTTGAGAAAGTTGTAATCAACCAAATACATCCCCAACCTATTTATACATGTTTAGGATGGTAAAATAGTAATTTTTTAAAGAAAAAAACGGTCAAAAACGGCTATATTAACGGCTAGTTTTTTAAACCCAGACCGTTTTTTTTTTCCGGATAAAAACCGGTTTTTTAACCGGTTTTTTTCAAACCGGTTTTTTATCCGGTTAAAAAACCGGTCTGGGTTTTTTTCTCCAAACCGGTTAAAATAACCGGTTTAAAAAAATCCGATCCGGTTAAAAAAAACCGGTTTTTCCCAAATCCGGTTTCGGATATTTTTTTTTCACAAAATCAGATATTCGGATTTTTTGTGCACCCCTACCTGTACTATGTGTAAGTTATGCATTTAGTTTTTTTATTCTAATTTGGTTATCGGCACTCTTATACTTTTGCAATTAAAACTTATTATTAGCTCCTGTATTATAACCAGAAATTTAAGCACTTCAAAATTTTTAAAGTTTTCGGCTAGGGCAACATTCCATTAAGCCCCATAAATTGTATACTTTTATTTAGACCCCTTAGTAATTTTGAAAATTCTCATTAAGCCTACCAAAATTTTAAAAAAATTTAATTGGACGCCCAAAATTTTTACGAACTTTTCATTAAACCCCTCATTTTTTAAATTTTCAATTAGGTCTCTAAATTCTGTCAAAATTTTAATTAGATCCTTCGCGAGCTGATTTTCCACCTATGGATTTAATTTTTGTTTCTAATTTGATCATTTAGTTTAAGTAATTTAGTCATATTATCCCCATGTTTGAATCAGGTCTGAAATTTCAAAATCCGAAAAGTGCAGTGATTGACATTGACTAGATAAGAGTATGGGGGCTAACTCCAAAACTTAGCACAGGGATTGACAACAGAATTTCACCTAATGTTTATGACATGTAAATAAGCAAATAAAAATGGCAGGCATGCAAATAAGCAAACTTTGATTCAAGTCATGCCAAAGGGGTTGAATTTAAGATTCTCAACTGTTCTAGTTTCTTGTATGATCATCACGAAAATGGAAGCTAATGAGAAATGTTTTGATTCAATCAATCAAGTTGCTTGCAAATGAATTAAAATCACTAAAAACATCAGTTACAAAACCTGGGATTTCAGGCTTCTGGCTGATTGCTTCTTCTTCCTACATGATCTCAATGCATTCATTCCTCAGTTAAACAGTAATAAATAAAAATCTATCACATGACCAAAGTGTCAATTGAATGAGACAGAGAAAGACAAAGATAGGAAGAAAAGAACCACCTTATCTTGAGACTAAGTTCACAGTGGATCCACAAAGCAGACAAGATATGACTTCCATCGTTAAAACTCCCCACGTGATCTTGACATATACAAAGGATCCATAAAGCAGCTTCCTTTGGCATTAAGACATTGGTTCAATTATGTTTACCAAAACATTTTTGTTTGTTTTTGCTTAGTTTCTTTCATGGGTTAAAAAAGAAAAAACTGGGTCTTGTCAAGTTGTGTTTTTATCTTGGTTTAGTTGTGGTTTAGTTGTCTTTGTTTTTGGATAACATTCTTTAATAAGAATTAGTAAAGTAATCACTTTTTTTTCTTCATCAAAGGTCTTGGCTTTGGTTATATTTTGTAAGCTTCTGATGTTTTTGATTGGTAGAATTGAGGGATCATTGAAACTGGTAGGGTAAGTCTTAACTGTGACAGGTACTTTTGATTGGTTGGAAAATCTGGTTTTTGTTTTTGAGTTCGAGTTGCTTTGTATATCATAAATCTGTGGAACTTGGAACTTAGTTGATGTTCATGTTTATGAGTTCGAAC